CTCGCAGCCCAGCACTCAACCGCTGCGCTACCAGGGGAGGCCCCAATTGATCCTTTTTCAACATAGATTTGAACTGTCCTGAGCCACTCATACAAGGATTTTTTTGTTCTATCTGTATGTTCACATTCAAGGATTTACCCAACCTTTTGTGTCAGTAGGTTGAGTCCCTGGATATAGGACTCAGGGGTATCGTGGTCTGTTCCCTTAGTCCCTACCTTGTGCAAAGGTCAGTTGTATGTACTCATCCTAAGTTTCCAGTATGTATTCACTATGTAGAAACCCCAAAATAAAAAATATTTCACACAATTGAACTCAAAAAATGAACTGCAGGGGCCTCCCTGGTGGCACAAGGGGTTAAGCATCGCACTGTGAAGCAGTCCGCAGCCTCTGCAGCACGAGTTTGATCCCTGGCTAGCCAGGGGTTTGATCCCACATGGCGAAGCAGATCTCTCTTCTCTCGCCCGCTAATCCCGTCAGCAGTGTGTTTCAGTCAGTCTGCCTGTTCTGTTCCCCACTCTGTCTCTGGAATCCTCTCACCCCCTGGATCTCTGGCCTGTACCCCAGCTCTTGTATGCATAAATAAATAGAAAAAAAATAAACTGTAGCTTCAGGCTAAAGCATTCCTATTTTGTATTTTGCTTAGGAAGAAATGCCATTCATCTCTCTTTTACTCTCAGCAGAAAGAGTTATGTAATCAGTAGAAACAGATTCTAATACAAAATAAATTTTTGCAGCTTTTAAATTGCATTTTAAATGACATTACTTGAAAAAACTTTTTAAAAAGTGATTTTCCTCTGAACAATAACTATCTGGTAAATTGTATGTGGGCCCAAAACCTTGATTATAATTTTTGCTAACCTGAGTCTTTGTTAGGAAGAAGGAAACAAAGACAGTGAGCTCCAGGCTTCTTAATCATAGCGCATTTGAAGTCCTGAAACTCTTCCATTACAGCATCTCTGACACAAAACCATTTGAACATGAATCATTTCTAATTCTTAATAGGACTTCCAAATGAGAAAATATGCCTATAGCTCTTATTAGTACACAAATTTATTGCAAAATTCATAACCCATTAATGATCTGGCAACCAACTTTTAAGGCACTGCAAAAAATAGCTATATTGCAGACATTAACTACACCTGATGTAGGAAAAACAGGTACATCTAGGAAGGGCATGCAAACTAAATTCACAGTTTCATCATTGTTCAAAGGGAATTTTCTCTTATTTTCATATTAAGGTATTCTAAAGCACTGATACTCCTCAAGCATTATATAAAGTACAGAAATAATTACTTGATAATTGAAAATAGTTTATGTAAAAACAAATTTATGGAAATAAAATTGTGAGCATGCTCTAATTCTCTTGATTAGTAGATCACTAAGACATAGCATCAGTAAAGTACATCACCTTTTCAGTATTTTTTTTCTGTATCTATTCAGTACACAGCTTCATAAGGCAAACTGTGTTTCAGATTTTTAGCCGTCTTTTATAGACCTTCCATCTAAATATTTTGTTTTTATAGAAATGGACATCGTGTTTCTGCCATACAAGTTCATCCTGGCGTAGATGATACATCTTGCATGAACTTTTTGATAATCAGACTAAGATCACTCTGAATCACCAGGTCTTATCCTGTTTCTGCATAATTTTCTCTGTGTTGCTGATATAGATAATGTAGCAAGTATTTATAAAATACTTGAACTCTCATTCAGTTGGTCATATTGGAACTTTCTCCAAGTGAACTCATACTTTTTGAGTGCCTGTTTGGTACTTGCTAGGCATGTGCCAGGCACTTGGAATTATGAGTGCAACATGTCATACATGGTCCCTGCCTTTATGTTTGAGCATTTATTTCAGGGGCTCTCTGTGGTTTTAGTAGTCCAACCTAGGCATATGCCCAGCTGAGGTATACTCAATACTTTCTGCCTTCCTAGCTGGCAGAGATGGAGGAGGAACTACGATATGCACCACTCTCTTTTCGTAACCCTATGATGTCTAAGCTTCGAACCTACCGGAAGGACCTTGCCAAACTCCATCGGGAAGTGAGAAGTACACCTTTGACAGCCATACCTGGGGGCCGAGGAGACATGAAATATGGCACATACACTGTAGAGAATGAGCACATGGTAAGTAAGCTTCAGCTTTTTTTTTTTTTTCCCCTCAAGGGCCAATAATTAACGATATTGTGTAGTTCCTGTTCAGTACATATTAGACTTCCCATCCTGTCCTCTTGTGTGTCCACTTCCTTTTTTCCCCTTGGATACTCATCTCTATTTAGTGTAGGTCTTTCCAAACTATGCTTACTTGGATTTCTTTGTATCCTTTATATATAAAACAGTTTGGTCTACAGTGGTGGTGTGCAAAGTATTGCCTATTCTATCTGGATTGTATATCCTAACCCTACTGATGCAGTATCATCTCAAGTAAGCCCCCAAAATTCAGTTAGGTTTTTATGAGTAACATCACAAAATTAACCAAAGATTCCCTTTATATTTATATCAAGCTGGCCTAAGAGCCCAGATATAGAGAAAAGGCAGGATTCTTGTCAACAAGGGGATAACACTTTATTCTGTTGTAGTGGGAAATGAGCCAAACTGACTCCCTCCAGTATTCTGATTTATAAACTTAGGCTAAATCAAAAATCTTATTCTTCTATCTAGCTTCTCTAGATAGCTTGGAGTAAACTTCAAAGACTAATGTGTTGTATTTAGGATTAAAATCCTCAGTACAAAGGCAAGGATGTGGGAGAGAAACAGATGGCGGCCCACAAGTGCAGACTGCACATATGTAGAAAGCCTAACAGTACAATTTTAAACAAACCTTTAGTTACTGTTCCGGATCTGTCTGTGGTTGATTCATGTGATCTTACTGTCTTCATGTGCTTTCTTCAGCATTATCAGTTGAAAAATCTCCATTCCTTATTTTTTAAAAAAAAAAATTCTGCTTTTTTGTTAAGTAATTATAACATAAATTTCAGATGTTCATTGTTAAGATCATTGTGTGTATATATTACATCAGTGGTTTCCTCATTCACTGACAGAGGCCACCAATGAAGCAAAAAGACTTTATTTCTGACCTGGGAAGCCGTCTTTTGGCTACTTGATCGTGGTGTCTAGTTGTTAGTAGTCTACCTGCTCAGCAGTAGGTCCTGTGGTTATGTGTGTGCATGCATTTTTTGCATCCAAGAACTGGGGTATAGGCCAGAGGTGTTGGGCGGGTGGGGGGTGTGTGTGTGTGTGAGAAAATTCACCAGAGACAGAGTGGGGAGTGGAACAGGTGGATCTACTGAAATACACTGCTGAGGGGAGCAGCAGGTGAGACAGGAGAGGTCTGCTGCGCCATGTGGGTCAGCTCCCTGGCCTGGGATTGAACTCATATTGCAGTGGCTGGCTTGGTAATGCTGTGTCTTTAATCTCTGGACCACCAGGGAGGCCTTGTATGTGCATTCTTTAAGAACTTAGAACTAACCCATTTCTGTCAGTGGTTAATTCTGGCCTGACAAAGGCTACTTTTGTCTTCATGCTGTCTGTGTTTAGGATTATAGGTAGAGTAAAACTTGGGTGGGGATTTAGAAAATAGGGTGTTAGGGCAGCTTGCCTCGTTCTCTAAGAGCAAATCACAAGTGAGGCAACTTCAAAGTTTTCTGTGTTTGGCCTGAGGTGAAATTCTTACAGCCCCTAAAGATTTAATGCTCAGTACTAATCAGGTGGGAATCTTCAGTTGACATTTATCTAGGGTCTGTTGTGCTACCCAAGTTAGAGGCTTTATGACTTTCCATATCCTGTATCCCAAGTCTGGGCCCCTGATCTCCCAGAAGTAGCTAGTCCAGGAATCACACAGCCCAGTTCAAATTCATCACAAACACAGAGGAAATAATTTGATCTCTTCAATATCCTCCGTTCGCCTTAAGTATAATAAGCACTGGAGAGCTTATTAGTGTTCCTGTACTAAATTACAGGTTCTGCTTAAGTCTGACCATGACTTATTAAAACTAATAAAAAGTATACTGTATCCCTTCTTACATATAAGCAAGGTGATAAAGGAGCTGGCAATGAAATATAATGAAAGAAATCTAACAGTTCCCTTCCACACTCCTGTCAGAATCGGCTACAATCTCAAAGAGCATTGCTTCTCCAAGGAACTGAGAGCCTAAACCGGGCCACCCAGAGTATTGAGCGTTCTCACCGGATAGCCACCGAGACTGACCAGATTGGCTCAGAAATCATAGAAGAGCTGGGGGAGCAACGTGACCAGTTGGAACGTACCAAAAATAGAGTAAGTCTGGCCAGACGGAAAAGTAGGTGGGCTCATTACATCCTAGTACCTGGCAATGGCAGTGCTGAATTTAGGGTATAATCTTTTAGGTTCTTAAACTTTTCTCAATTTTTAGTTTGTTTGGCAGAGAGATTTCCCTTGGAAGTAAATAGTTTTACCTACTAAGACTTAGAGGTCATTGGGGAAAAAAAGACTAAAGAAACCAGGTTTCAGCATTTATTAAGAGTTGCCAAATATAAATTTGCAGTCACTCTTACTAATTCCTCATTATCGGTCTTTGGCAAGACAGTAGTTATGTCATAATACTCAGAACCACCAATAAGATTTTTATTTCTCATCCATCTAGTGGTATATTCTTATTCTTGTGAAAGTATCATCTACTTAAAAAAATTAGCTTTCCTGTTGTGTAAACCCAAGGCTGTTGTCCACATGTAATAAAAGAGTACCTCTAACATTTTATAGAGGTTCATTCCTGGACTATAAACTCTTTACTGTTACCTAAGGTAAGCCTGATCATTGTGGGGCAAAATGACTATATTAGGATCCTAACCTATCATTCTAAGCAGCTCTGAAAAAACTTGTTTCTTCTCTAATATATCTGCGTAGGATTTTTAAAAATACAATTTGTCAGTGGAATAATGTATTCTTAAGAGCATGAGGCAAACCCAAACTGAAAAACAGATACTGTTGACACTTGGATAGAAAAATTTTTTATTTCATGTTGTGTATTTTTAATATTTTTAAATTTTATACATTTTTACATCATTTTTCATTTTTGCATAATGTATACATTTTCATCTTGGTTATAGCCCCAATACAATTCCCACCCCCACTTTTTGATCCGACTCCCGCCCCATAGTGTGTCTCTGGTTTATAGTTGCTTGTTGATTTTGATCTTTATTAGAATTCGGTTTTTTCCTGGTCCCTTATTTAGGGTTTCTAAATTCTTGCTATGAGTGAGACCATCAGGTATTTTTCTTTTTCTTTCTGGCTTATTTTGCTGAGCATGATTGGATAGGAAAATATTAATTGAAATTCTCCATAAATTAGAACGATGCCCTTCCCTCCCTCAGTGAAAATTACAGTAAATAAAGTAAATTCAAGGTAAGCCATGGAGAAGTCAACTTGCTTACAGATCATGTGGTTTCTCACTTTGAACATACCAGGCAAATTGACTGAATTTAAAAGCCAGGGAATGAGGTGGGAGAGCAATTTTTTGAGCTCATTAGAGAATGAGGGCAGGTGTCATCTGTTGAAATATTCTTCAGCTATCTAGATTAGTAACAGCAGTCAAAAGGGAAAGGCTTTTTTAAAAGGCTTAAATTCCTTTCACAATTCACTGTCTTCTTTTAAACTAACTCCGTTTAAAAAACCCAGCCTACAATAGTAACTCATGAGTCTCCTGGAGTTTGGCTGATGAAATTCAAATCTTACATTGCTTCACAATTACTGTCAAAGTACCTTCAGGTATACTGGAAGTCTTTCTGATTTGCATAGACAAGGTGAAGATTAGTCACCCAGAGCAACTGTAAAATAATTCCTAAGCCTACTTGTACTTACATATCTTAGCCTTTGCAGTTTCTGCTAATACTCAGAGGCCATCATTTAAATTGGTTTGATTTTTTTGTTTTTCAGCATATAGCCCTTAATACTGTCAATTTAGGAATGTTGAGATTTTTACAGTGTACCTTTGAAAGGGGGAAATAATTGTTATTTTCTCTTCTCAGCTGGTAAACACAAGTGAAAACTTGAGCAAAAGTCGAAAGATTCTCCGTACAATGTCCAGAAAGTAAGTTTTAAAAACAGTCACAAAATTTCTCTTAACTTGGATACTTTCAACCAGGAATGTCAAAGCTTTAAACAGTGACTTGAAATATTCGAAGCAGAATAAATAAGTACTGTCTTGTCCTGTTAAATAGCCCAGAAAAAATTCCTATGTTACAAAAATATATATTCTGACTTGGAATAATGGAAAATTTTACCACTGAAAGGTCTTATATTCCTTAGAGAAGCCAAGATTGGCATAATAGAGTTTTATATCCTTGAAATATATTTGTAAAAACTTGATTAGAAAGTGGTTTTTACTGCCACTACTTAGTATTTGACTTTGACTCTGCTTGCCCTTCATGGGAGTCAGCCTTTTATCTAGGAGTTTCGTGTTGTTAGCATGGAGTTAACTTAGGTAAGTGCTGACAGTAACAGAATCAGGGCCAGATGGGATCTTGGAGGTGATACGATTGAGGCTGACTTTGAAGGAAGTAGATAGTGTAAATGAACTAAAAACTACAACTGATAGAACTACCAGGAGTGCCGGCTTTTCCTAAATAGTGTGAAGTAGGGGGAAACTTTCAATTTAGAGTGAACCTGAGAACCAGACACTGGATTCTTTGTAATAAAAAAAGTATAGGAGCATCAATTTTTTACTACCTTTTTTAATAGAAGTAGCTATGGGGCAGGGGTGGGCATGTGAAAGATAAGTTTGGAAGAGATTAAAAGAGGCTACCATTCTTCTAGTTCCTTATCCTAAAGCAGGACCCATCCTGAACTGGATTTCAGCAATAGAGCTTGCTACATACAGACTCTTCCCACTATGCGCTCACAGCTGTAATATGTAACTGATGCAGCTCTGTCTGGCTAGCAAATCTTGTATTCGTTGTTCTGAAATAGAATTCACCCCAATTTCAAAAATCACTTTTTAATCTTTTCTTTAACTAACCTTCCTAGAAAAGCTATAAAGCTATTTTTAAAGTGAGGAAGCAACTACTATGTGAAGACATTTTAGAACTAAGAAACCAATTTTTATGCTTTGGTATCATCCCAGATTTCAACATTTCTGTGAGGTAGATAGTGTTATCCTTAAGTTATAGCTAAAGTACCTTTTAAGATACTTACTGCTAAGAGGCCATGTGATCAGACAAAAGCTCAGGCCGGCTTCACAATATCGGATCTTGGTCCCAGGTGGGTGAAAGTCCTCTTAAGATTAAAGAGGAAAGAAAATGCTGTCCAGCCTTCTGACCACTCCCCACTTTGCTTCTCTTTGTAGAGTGATAACCAACAAGCTGCTACTTTCCATCGTCATCTTATTGGAGGCAGTCATCCTGGGAGGCCTGGTTTATTACAAATTTTTTCGTAAGCATTGAGCTTCTACAGGGAGGAGTTTGTGGATCAGAACTTTGACCCTGTGAATGAACGGTGTTAGAGATGAAACCATATTGCTGCTGTGAGCTAACAGCTCAAGGATGCACTGTGTGGCCTGACTGTGGGTGGAGGGAGGGAAGATGAAAACCCAGTGAACTGTGAAGAACAGCAACAAGACCAGTATGATATACCAAGGTAATAAATGTTGTTTATGACTTCTTTAAATTTACATAGTACTCCAACATATCAGTGCCCCATGAACTGCAAATAAAAACAAATACATTTACAGTAGTGCATTGGTCACCAAAATGGAGAGGGAGAGGAGAGTTTACAATTTTGGGAATGCACAAATGTTCTCATTAAGGCAGTATTGACCCAGGTGACCACTTACTATCCCCTCAAATACCTCAACTCTGAATGCCTACTGTGACAGCACAGTATTGCCTAAATTCTCACACGTTCCTTACTTTCTGACTCATCTGGGGAACTGGGAGTAGGAAGTTGGTCATAGACTATGTGTCCTCCTTCCCTTGTCTGGCCAAAACTTGAAGCGATCACATCCACTGCCAGGCCGGCTGTAGCCTTGACCTCTTCCTCAGAAGCAGCCAACCGAGGATTAACTTCAACAAGATCCAGTGCTGACAGCAACCCTGAAAGAACAAAATATGATTAAACCTCAGAAAATTCCCAAGCTGCTGAGGATTATAAGAACTCCAGAGTCATTTTCCACTGTAAAGTTATCTGCTGTCAGGAAGCCCCTTATACCTCATCTCATCCTCTGGGGAATGGATTTTACTTGAAACACTGGTTGGCATAGGACTGAAAGAGCTTTAAGGTAATAAAGTCAGGCATCCCTTTTCACCTAACGTTAATAGGCATAGCTATCAGTTTTGTTTGTCTGTTTTCAAGACAGGATAAGGAAGGGACGGGCCCCTGGAGTTTTCAAACTGTTTGGGAAACTCATTTCCAATATTAGGAACTTTCCAGGCACCTGCCTATAAGTGTGTTAAGTATTAAAGCAGAAGAATTCTCCCACTTCTCACTAGCCTGAGATGTGTTCCCACTTTTGTACACTGCTATATGTAGCTCTTGGGTCACCAAACCACATGCCCTGATGCAGTTACCTCTGCATATCTTACTCTTATGTCTGCAGATCTAAGCTTTGAGGACAGGTTCTGTGTCTGGCAGTTTTTATGTTTCCTAGTAGATTGACTCAGTATTTGCACTTGGTTGAGGGAAGACTCATAATTGTTTAATTTGGAATTTAGTTAACTTCTATGCAGCTTTAAGAACTTATGGCAATGTTCTTAGCACTATACCTTTTGGCCTAGAGCCGGCCATGGGGGGAAGATTATACCAGAACCACCTATTCCAGACCTGTTCTTCCTCTTCCCCCTTCCTCTGAACATATAGAACACCTTCACCCCTAAACCCCCTCATTTCTCTGGGATACTTAGTAGGTTATTCTGGGTGAAGTTAATCTACCTCTTCAAGAGTCTTTAAACTAGTATTTAAGAATACCATATCAGAGGGCCTCCCCGGTGGCGCAGCAGTTGAGCGCTGGGTTGCGAAGCTGCCCGCAGCCTCTACAGTGCTGGTTCGATCCCCAGCTGCTCCCCAGCCACCAGAGGAGGGTCCCACATGGACCGCAGACCTCTCCTGCCGCCCGCTGCTCCCCTCAGCAGTGTACTTCGGTCCTTCTGCCTGCTCTGCTCCCCGCTCTGGCTCTGGTGAATTCTCTCACTCTCCTGCGCTTCTGACTGTACCCAGTGCTTGTATAAATAAATAAATAAATCTTTAAAAAAAAATAAATTCACGAAGCCCTTTAAAAAAAAAAAAAAAAAAAAGAATACCATATCAGAATACTTAGATTAGCCATAAAGCTTGAAACATGGGTGACTATACCTAATGGTATAGTCTGATTTACTGATATTACATTATAGTATATGATTGTGCTCCATGCCACTATAGCCATTGTATACTGCCCTTACCAGTGTACCATACGGAACTGCAACAACCATGCTACTGTAGCATGTACACCAATTCTTGCGCAGGGATCTAGGTCTCTAAATGTAGGCCTTTAGCATAACCCACAAGTAATCAAGAGGGCCTGAGCTATGAATATCTCTTTATCCATGTTTCCAGACTGCTGCTATCCTGTAAATTAGTTAAGGAGACTGTGTATCCAGTTGATAGTACCCTGACAGTCTTTGGAATAAAATCTAACAGCAGAAGAGGGAGGGATGAAGTATGGTCCCAGTTCCAGGTGGTATCATTGGGAACCCACATGGAGGATTACGCTCAGGTTTGCTGGCCACTAGCACAATGACACTTGACAATGTCTTAAGAATGAGACGACCTTGCCACTGTCCAATCTGATAGATAAGCACTTTTCCTTTCTGTAGAGCTCAGATTCCAGCAGGCCCTAGTGCCAGGGACATTTCTCAGTGTCCATTTATCTGCCCCAAATCTTTCAGTCTAGAGTGTCTATGTGATTTAGATCCCAGTTTTATGAGATGGCATTGAGGTAGCATAGTTGCTTACATTTTACACAAAAGGTCATTTAAAAGTAGCCTTATTTTCTGACAGAAATGGAAACTTTGCAAATGAGTATGAGTTATGGGACAGGATCCCCCTGTATCTATATTTGTAATCTAATGCTAATTTTACTGATCTTTTTGTTAGCCGTTCATCTTCTAGTATACCCAAATTAAAGCACTGATCAAACAAAGTCTAAGAATTATTAGCCTATAAGTAAGGACCCAAGGATACTGTCCAGCTTTGAAAATATCTTCAAGAAAAGCTTTAACTCCACATTCCCAACTCTTAGTGAACGAACCTCTTAAAGTTAGGGTATAATTACTAGCTACTTGGCCTTGCCTTTTTATTTTAGCCGTCCTTTAGAGGATTCAGATGGATAGAACTACATCAGTTTGGCAGTTTGTTCTTATATTTTATGAGTGTATGTTATATAGACAAACAGTTTCTTACTCAGTTTTACCGCAGCATATTTGGGTATAAGCCAGGTTTAAACATACCTCTGATTGCTCCTTATTAACCTAACCACTTGACTTTTAGCTATAAAAGTTTGAGCAAAAAAACAATGCCGGCAATTACATGGAATAGCAGAAAAGGTCCTGTACTGGCCACAGGCATATTTATGTATTTAACAGGCTGATTGCTACTTACCAGTACTATGGATTTCCTCAGTGATATACATGCCCTCTCGGTAGGTCAGTCCCCCTACAACAGGGGTGCCTGTGGCTGGAGCCAGTGAAGGGTCAAAGGCGTCAATGTCAAAACTCAGGTGGATTGGCCTTTGTTGTCTTGAAAGAAGGAAGATAAGAGAATTGCCATTTGGTTGTGGCTGGACTCCCGTCCTTCTACAGTTATAATGCCTTGACTTTGTTACTGTCAGCCCTGGCACTTTGTTAACATAACAGATCTGCAAGTTTCCTGGTCTTGGAAGTTACTGAGCACTAAGCGTGTTAGCTTCCTATACACCACTTTTGCTGTTGTTCCGTGTGCCTCCGGCTAATTTCACTTCATATTTCTGACTTACACTGGGCACGAGAACCCAGTGCTCTTACACTAACTGGCAGTAGAGAGAATTCACTTTTATGACAGTGGACTCTGATACATTCAGTGTCAATTGGATTATCTGTGTTCTAGTTGCTAATCTCTCAGAACATAACAGCAGCAAAACTTAACTCTGATTTTGTGTCAGGAGCCTTATCTTCCAATTCTAACTTACAGGTTAGCCCAGGTATGCCATATGACTAAAACTAACAAATGCCCATATGCTAAATAAATTTTTTGACAGCTTAAGAAATGACATACTATAAGCTGAGAGTTAATTACATTACCGAGAAATAGTCAGCATTAGGAAAATGCTTTTAAAACTAGCATTTGATTAGCAGTCATCTGTCACCTGCCATCTTTCTATACTACCAAGATTTGCTTAACATAAAACATTCAGATGAAGAAATAGTGAGGCTGGGAAGAATGGAACAGTTGAGGGAAAAAGAAGATAAGCTTTTTAAAAATGAGCCTAGAATTCATGAGAGGATCAGGCAGGGACAGAAATTCTCCCAAACCCAGAGGAAGGATATAACTTATGTTTCATATTTTCCTCTTCTGATTTATTTGGATATTTTATATGTATGCCTTGTTTTAACTTTAAAAGCTCCTGTCCTCAAGAGATGGGCTACACTGTGCTGCCTCTTGGGAGTCTGTTTTATTCCCTTTGGGACCTAGAAGGAGACATCCATTGTAGTTACTCACTTGCCAATTAGCAGATCGAATGTCTGTTCCATGACCTTCTGGATGCCAAGTCGATCTATGTCTCTCATGGAAAAATACTGGATATCGTAATTCTTTAGAATAAAACTGGTGATACATAAAAGAAAGAGTCTGTAGTTAAAAGGGCATTTCATTTTTTTAATCAAATGTGAGGGGTGCTCTGTCTCTATAATGATCTACAAGCAACAACTAGCAAATCAAGTGACCAGGACGGCCCACAGTTTAATCCAAATTCTTCAACTTACTGTTCAGGAGGGTCCACATCTCTTAAACCAATATATACGATACTTGGGGAAGAGATACACGGTTTGATCCAGGAAAATCCTGGGAGTTGTGGTACCTAGAAGAGATGAATGAACAAGATTCATTACAGATTTTTGGTCTCACTCAGGTAATCACTGTATGCTTTCCAGTGTGTGCTGTCTGCTTTTTCTTCCTACCACAGGATATGCTTAAAGCAATACAAGATACTTGATCTGGGAAAGAGAATGGATACAAGTGGAAATATCTCAAAAGGAGAGCTGAAGAATGTAGTGTAGCTTAAGAATAAAAAAAAGTCTTCTGAGGTGGTCTCGGTTTTTCATTAACTTTCTTAAATAACAGAAATACTGCTGATTAGCCCTTTTCACCCCTTTGTACATTACTGAATTAACAGATTGGTTCTTGAAACATAACCCAGGTGCCATCTCAAGTTGTAGACAGTCAAAACAAATTCTGCCCAATGAATAGCCTTTGTACTGCTAGTTTCACTTGGTCCCTCACTAAAGGGAGGGATAAAGGAATGCTGTGCCCAACATGGACTCCCACGTCTTCTGAATAGCCTAGGAAAAATTACTTAGAGGTAATCATGGTTTTACTTATTTCCTAGATCAGTGAGTCTGAGAGTAAGATCTGAGCCCTTTAGACTATGAAATCAATTGCTCGTTACTACTCACCATACCACCTTCCTTCCTTATAACATTCTAAGCCCTCTGAAAGCATGTTCTAGTCATCTTTATATCCCTAGCTTGTAGGAGACTACCTGTCCCTGATGAACAAATGAAGACGTTATTATCATTAATACCATCATCCTTAATCCATCATTCACAGAAATCTTCCTTACCTAGACCCGCTCAGCCCCAGGATGACCCCTAGAAGTCATTCCACTTTCATTTCTACTCACTGACCTTGTCCTGTAATTCTCTGAGGAGAAATGAAACTGGCTGTCCATGGAGATTTCCAGATGAAGTGGTGAGGGGTGTATTGATGTCAGCATGGGCATCAACCCAGATCACACACAAATCTGGGCAGTGCCGAGCGTGGCCACTAATAGTTCCGATTGCCAGGCTGCGAAGAACAAATAAAATAATCTTCAAGGCTCTCTGCTTGGCATACATCATCAATAACTCCTCAGCCAACGCAGCTCATACTCTGTCCTCAGGGCAAAGTCAGGGCTACAGACTGAAGCTGGATTTTGATGAGACAAAGTACCTAGGGTTGTAGTTCCCAAAGAATAACCTTGATCAAGTTAGACAAGGAAACATGGAAAACTCTAAAAATTGAAAGTTGACAACTGGTTATCCCTGTAGTGTGGTGGAAACCACTGCTGCCCCCAACCCCTGTAATTTGATCCTGGTCTAGAAAAGGACCTCTAATACTTCGGTGAATGAAATCTAGTTAAATTATGTGGTCTGTATGAAACAGCACACCAATACTGCTTAATAGACCTGAAAGGAGACTGGTAAAGGGAAACCAGGGAGATCATCTGTCAAAATATCAGTTACATTAGGGATAAAAATCAGAAGCAGCATAGCTTTTTGGGCGCATCATGTTAACTTTCTAAAAGTCAATGTTAAAGATAATGAACTGGTACCCCAATTAAAATTTATTTAGACCCTTGAATAAAAAAAAGGCTTATCTGCATGTTGCCTTGTATGTATTAGCATGGCATTCAAATACACTGTTTTTTAGCTTGTGCTTACATTAGTCAATGACCTATTATAGCTGTAGGACTATAGCTGATGAAATTGTGGTTAGAGAGCTGCCCAGCTTCCCAGTAACCAAGTAATTTCATAAGATGGGAAATGCAGCTTAAGCATCTTAGAAAATAAGCCCCCATCTTGGTCAGTAGAACATGAGTCAGCATTTTAAGCTCTGTGTCCTGCCTTGGGCCTTTTTGAGGGATACCATGGTTTAGTGCTAGTGATTAGGACAAATCATCTAGTTTCTCTAGACTTCAGTTTCCTTTTCTATAAAACAGATAATTATCTAGGCCTGATTAAGTTGTTTTGACGATCAAGGTAATAGTGTATGTTGTACTATGTAAAAAGAACATAATGACCTAAAAATGTCTCCCTTTAAAATCTTCAACAGCTGCTCAATTTGTCCAGATATCCGTTTCTTACTAGAATTTTCTAAATAGGCTAGGTTTTAGCACTGCACAGGAGAAGGAAGCAATGACAGGATTGCAATATACATAGCTAAAAACAAAAGAAACACCAACAACTGACAATCACATTGAATAGTAAGACCACGAAAGGATATAAATAGAGCATCGAGCTAGGAGATAGGAGATCCAACCCCTCTGGTTGATATAGCGGAATCTCGGTTGAGAACTTGGGACTAACTACTTCTCACTAAATTTTTACTCCTAATGAGGAATCTACCTGCCTCTGGAATTCTAACAAAGATATTAACTTCTGTTAGGTGATCTGAAAAGATCTCTGAGTACACCTCTGAAAAAGTCATCACAGCTTTCCAAGAAATAAGCATGAACACACTAGTAAAACTGTCTCCTGGGCCTCTCTGGTGCCACAAGGGGTTAAGTGTCAGCACTATGAAGCTATCGGCAGTCACTACAGCATGAGTTCAATGCCTGGCCAGGGAGCTACCCACATGGCACAGCAGACCTCTCCTTTCTCGCCCGCTGTTCCCATCAGCAGTGTATTTCAGTCAATCTGCTTGTTCTGCTCCCCAATCTGTCTTGTGGATACTCTCAATCCTGCCTTCCCACCTCAGCTCTTGTATACATAAATAAAAAATAAATCTTTAAAAAAATAAAATAAAACTTTGTCTCTAGTATCTCATGACTTTAGACATTAAAATACTATTATGTCCATTCTATCCTAAAAGTTCCACAGGGTATTTTATTCTAAGTAAGGAAACAAGCTAACTAATGAACCAAAGCAGTATAGTCCCTCCACCACCCCTGGCTCCCATCTTACCTGTGGTCCCCGCCCACTGTGACACAGCTGTAGCCACCGGACACAGCTCTGCTAACCACCTCAGCTAGCTCTTGGTTGGCGAGGCCCACTGATCGAGGATTCACTATCAGATTGTTGTAAAGGTCATCTTTGGGAACTGGTGTAAAATTCAAATCTCCAAAGTCTTTAAGGCGGCAGCCTGGAAACAAATGGAGGATGGCAATATTAATTATATATGCTATTCCAACTTTTATTGGCCTGGGCCACAAACAATAACTTGCGACAAAGTGCCTATCACACTTACCTTTTCATACTAAAATTTAAAATGTCACAAGATTGACTGGATTATCTTTTCCTTCCCAGCAAACCTGTGGGGTAGATCTTAATAGTGCATACTATATATTTTACAGATGAAGAATCAGGATTTTAGGGCCTCCCTAGTGGCGCAAGGGGTTGTGATGCAACCTATGTAGCTATCCACAGCCCCTGCAGCACGAGTTCGATCCCTGGCCAGGGAGCTACCCACATGGCGCAGCAGAACTCTCCTGACTCACCTGCTGCTCCCCTCAGTGGTGTATTTCTTTTTTTTTTTTTAAAAGATTTGTTTGTTTATGCAAGAACCGGGGTACAGGCCAGATGCGCGGGAGGGTGAGAGGATCCACCAGAGACAGAGTGGGGAACAGAACAGGCAGACTGACAAAATATACTGCTGAGGGAGCAGCGGGCGAGACAGGAGAGGTCTGCTGCGCCATGTGGGACCCTCGCCGGCTGGCTGGGATCGAACTGGCGCAGCAGAGGCTGCGGACAGCTTCACAGCGCTGCGCTCAACCGCCTGCACAACCAGGGGAGAACCTCAGCAGTGTATTTCAATCGGCATGTTCTGTTCCCCACTCTGTCTCTGGTGACTCCTCTCACCCCCCCATACCTCTGGCCTGTTCCCCAGTTCTTGGATGCAAAAATAAATAAATCTAAAAAAAAAAAGAATCAGGGTTTTAGAAAGCAAACACAGAGATGTTGACTGATTTCATTTAACGATTACAAAACCAGCAGCAGATAGCCCAGTTATGCGAACATAAAATGCTGAGAATCGAGTAATATTTTTTCCCCAAGATTTTTTTTTTATTTATGACATAAGAACTGGGGTATAGGCCAGAGGTGGGGTGGGGTGAGAGGATTCACCAGCGACAAAGTGGGAAACAGAACAGGCGGCTATACTGAAAATACACTGCTGAGGGGAGCAGCAGGTGAGACAGGAGAGGTCTGCTGTGCCATGTGGGTCAGCGCCCTGGCCAGGGATCGAACTCGTGCTGCAGTGGTTGGCAATAGCTTGATAGTGCTGAGACTTTAACCCCTGTGCCACTAGGGAGGCCCAGAACCCAACATTAAAAAAAAAAAAAAGTACTATTATAGAAATTGTACTCATAATTATTTTTTTAAATAAAAGGCCAATCAAAGGCCTGAAGCATCCTGAAATATCTAATAGTTATTACTTACCTAGTCCCAGGCACTGTTCTAACTGGTTATATTCTTAAGACTAACAATTCTAGTAGGTAAGTAAAATATGCCTATTCTATAGATGAAGAAATGAAGGTGCCAGAAGCAAGATCCAAATCTAGGCCATTCATCTCTAAAGAGAGAGGGGAGACCTTTTAATTAGGGTGAGATTGGCTTACAATGCGGTATATGATTTAGGGAAATAGGTTCACACCTCAAACATAGGTCATCACATCACACCCACCCCCAAAGCACCCGCAGTCCTTTACCCTAAGACCACTGGGCTCCCTCCCTTTGTCCTCACCCCCTTCTTCCTCCCCTTCTAGCAATCTCCAATCTGCAGTCCTATCTCAAGAGTTTGTTTAGCTTTGGTTTTGTCAGCTCCTTTGTTTATATTCCACATGAGTGAAATCATTCAGCATGTCTTTCTCTTTTTGACTGACTTTAACTTAGCATCGCCCCTCTAATTCCATCTATATCAAAGTATATATTCTTGACTATGCAGTTTGTCTCAAAGGAGTCCTGGATTCCAACATTCTTAATTAATTCCAACAGCCCTTAATTCCAACACTTTCTGAAAACCCAACAAGAAGGGAGTAGAGGGAAGAATTTGACCTCCCCTAAGATCACTGACCATGTGTGTGGGCCTCGCCCCGGGCTGGATATATGTCCTTGTGCACTGGATGCGGCAGCAGTGCCAGGTGACGTGAAACTTGGTGCAAGGCACCTGCGTAGGGCCAGCAAGGAGGCAGACAGACCTGGCAGACACAATCATCCTGCCGAGAGAATGGTGCTGCACAAGGGTAAGACCTTCACCCAGGCTGAAATCAAGTCCAGGAAATGAAATCAAATCAAAACCTGGGCAGGTTTTCCATCACTTCGCATCAGGGTCACCCAACTTCCCTAGTTTCATACCCCTCAACTAGTCTGCGCAGCCAATAAAGGCAAATTCTTCTAAAAAATAACTTAAGGACTAGTTATGTGTTGACAGTAGCTGAAATTATTTTCTCATCCAGGTTTCTCATATTCCAGTGAAATACAACACCAATCAGAACATATTTTCTATCTTTAACATAAGTACCTGTCTTTCAGTCTTAACCATTTATGTTAATAAATTGGATGAATGCCACATTTAGGGTGAAGACCAAATCCGACTCAATCCTATCAAGAGCAATCTGCTCTATCAGAGAACAGAATGTTACCACAGATTGTATCCCTAAGACCTGCTTCTCAAAAGCTTAAGGTATGTTTGGTGGGTTAGGGGGAAGTGATCACAGGATAAAATATTTGTGTTAAAATATTTTTTTTAAAGATTTATTTATTTATGCATACAAGAACTGGAGTACAGACCAGAGGTGTGGGAGGGTGAGAGGATTCACCAGAGACAAAGTGGGAAACAGAATAGGCAGATCAACTGAAACACACTGCTGAAGGGAGCAGCAGGCGAGTCAGGAGAGGTCTGTTGCGCCATGTGGATAGCTCCCCGGCTGGGGATTGAACTTGTACTGCAGTGGCTGCAGATAGCTTCATAGGTTGTGTCCCAACCCCTTGCGCCACCAGGGAGGCCTTTGTGTTAAAATATTTTAATTAAGGCTCGGCAGAACTCTCCTGTCTCGCCTGCTGCTCCCCTCAGCAATGCTTTTTGTCAGTCTGCCTGTTCTGCTCCCCACTTTGCCTCTGGTGAATCCTCTTACCCTCCTGTACCTCTGGCCTATACCCCAATTCTTGTATAAATAAAATAAATCTTTAAAAAAATATATTAATTAAGGGCCTCCTTGATGGTGCAGGGGTTAAAGTCTCCGCACTATCAAGCTATCAATAGCCACTACAGCATGAATTTGATCCCCAGCCAGGGAGCTGACCCACATGGTGCAGCAGACCTCTCCTGTCTCGCCCACTGCTCCCCTCAGCAGTGTATTTCAGTAGATCTGCCTATTTTGCTCCCCACTCTGTCTCTGGTCTCTGGTGAATCCTCTCATCCCCTACACCTCTGGTCTATACCCCAGTTCTTGTATGCATAAATAAATATTAAAAAAAAAAAAAAGATTTTAATTAAGATCAGTTGGATTCATCTTAAATTTAAATTGGAGAAGTTTTGAGCTTTACCTCTTGAACCCAAACTCAAAACAAAGTCAAACTCCTGAAAGAATACAAAAATTTGAGAAACAGTGAACTGGAAAATGGGTATGCAACCAAAAGGGATATTGGAAGCAAACCAGAAAATCTTATCCTATTTTCTCAATTAAAGGAAAGATATCTGCAGCTAAAATTGTGTCTTTTGGTCACTGCATTTTAAGAAAAAAATCATATAAAATATCCAGAACTAGAGAAGATGTGGATAACTGAGAAAAAAGGGCAAATGCTGACGATAGAAGAATCTAACAGTTCAGAGACAGTGGGAACTAAATGGGGGTGGGGGGGGGAATGACCAAAGGAAATATCTAAAAGTCTTTTTAAAGAAAAACCCAGTGTAAAGTCATTATGAACCTTACTAAATCTCAAAATATGGAAAGACACTTTCAACTTAGTGGAAGGTAACTTTAACTTTTGGTCAAGATCAGGTCCTGTCATGCTGGCAACACAGTCTTGGCAACAATTACTAGAAAGTTCTTGAACAGCAGTGCCTATCTGATGTTCCTACTTCCAAATCTATGTTTATCTCTTTACCTTCTTTAGTCACATCAGGTATTTAGGTTCCTATGAGGTGTTAAGACACTGGGGTGTGTTTGGTATGCCAGCTGCATGTTTTGCAATATTAGGTATATAATTAGAAAAAGTTTATAATCTAACCTACTAAAATAATGGTAATATTAACTAATTTTTGAAGACCACTTTAAATCATTTAATCTTCATACACCCAATAAGAAACACTGGGTAATTAAAATTATCATCCCAATGTGTGACTCAAATCTAGTCATGGAATCCAGGACGTAGACTCAGCAGGCTGCTCACTTGTATGTACTTATCAGAAGCTTCAGGAAGCCTAAAAAGTCTTAGAGCAACACTCCAGGGAAGAGAGACTGAATTTCATAAAAGGATTTTGAAGATTAAATGTGTAACTGCTGAGGAGCAGATCACCAGATCATTTCACTGCTTACTCCATTTGCTTTGCTTCCTTGCTCACCGGAGAACCTCTGGTTATTCACTTGGTTTCCCAATTGCCCTCACCCCCGCAAGAAGGCTTCCTGACAGCAGATGCTGGAAGGCTGCTGCTCACCATGACCAATCATGGGCTTGTGCTTTATACCTGCTGGTGAGCATGCGTCTCTGGTTCTGAAAGCCTGCACACACCAAGGCTTCTGTTTCTTGATCCACTAAGTGTCTGGTGGTGGGCCAGACACCACCACCCCAAAGAGATTAGTATCTTGAAAGACCCTGCCTAAGTGGCCGACCCTATCTGACTCCCAACTCTGCACACTAATCTCCACAAAAAATGTCAGGTAAGGACGAGGGACAATGAGTGCCTAAGGGGTCCAAAGAAATTCAGCGAGGCTGTGGACAGAGAAGGAATGACCCCTACAAGTAAAATTTGCACTAGCACTTATATTTTTAAGATTTATTTATTTATTTATACAAGCACTGGGTAAAGTCAGAAGCGCAGGAGGGTGAGAGAATTCACCAGAGCCAGAGCGGAGAAGAGAACAGGCAGACTGATGAGGTACACTGCTGAGGGGAGCAGCAGGCACAGCAGGAGAGGTCTGCATG